AAATCCTAATTTTGGACTAATTGGGCCAAATTTTCACCTAAGGTAAACTAGGTAAAATTTTAAATTCCCATGTAATTTTTCATGCTAGAACATCTTTTTATACGTTACTAACATGTAATTAATCAACTAAAAATCAAACAAACAAAAGAATCAAAAAGCTCTAATTTCTTGACTTTGGCCAAATGGTTCCCCTCAAATAAAACTAGGAAGTTTTTGTTTTTCTTAATTTCAAGTCCAATTAAAATATTCTAACATCAATTGCATGAAATTCCATGTCTAAACCATTTTTTTTTTCAATTTTTCCTAACTAAGAACCCTAACTCTAATTTGTGAAATTAATTCAATTAAACATAAATTAAGGATGCAAGATCAATAATTATAATCAAATAGCATGTCCTTGTGATGTAGGTGAGATTAACTTACCTCTAAAGCTCCAAATTAACCATTGAAAGGTTGGATTGCTTTGAAATTATTCCTTCCCTCTTTTCCTCCTAAATTTCGGCCAAGAGTGAACTTTTTCCTCCTTGGAAATTTTGATGGTCCAACTTAATTTCTAGGCTTAATAAGGTATTTTAGGGTGAGTTAAAGTGTTTAGGTGAAAATTTAGCTGGTTTTCTATGAAAATTTTACAAGAGTTTCCTTTGAATTTCTCAATTTTATGACATTTTCTCTCATATTTTCTACCCATATTCATAGGTGAGCTTAGGTAGACTTTTGATTATTTGAATTGATATTGACCCTTCATTTGGTTTAATCTCAACCCTTGATTTTGCTTTTAATCCTAGCCCTTCATTTGTTTTAATCCTAATCTTTCATCTTTCTTTAATTTTTATCCCTCCACTTTTCTTCATCCTAACCCCTTATTAAGCCTACAAGTCAAAGTTAATTAATGAAACCTAATCATGGAGGGTGAGAGATGGCAAAATGGAAGAAAAAACTCTCCCAAAAATATTTTATTTTAGTCCTTCATTTTATCACTTTATCTAATTTTTATTCTTCCACAAGCCCTCTAAAATTTTAATTGACAAATTTAGTTCCTTCCTTTAAAGCTTTTCTAACTATTTGCCTCCTTAAGTTCATTTACAATTTTATTTAAAATTAAAATTTTTTAATTTTATGCAATTAGGTCCCTATGTATGCATAATTTATTTCAAATCTTTTCAAAAATTAATTTCTTTTCATAATAAATTCAATCACTTCCTATAGTAATTTATTCATCATTCACATAATTTTTATACACATATTTAAGCCCTCAAATTAATTATTTTGCTTAAAATTGCACTTATTCCTATATAAAATATTCCCTAAGCACAAAAAAATTCACTTAAGCGCATGAAATATTCCTACACCTCCTTAGAAAATTTTCTATGCTCATTGGATAATTTTCATACACATTTAAAATACTCAAAATAATTAATTTCCATGAAAAGTACTATTCATGCATCGAAAAGCCAAATAAAATATTCATTGAACATAGGAAAATTCATCCAAATGCATAAAATATTCAAGCACCCTTCTAACAAATATTTTGTTCAAACGGAATAATTTTCATGCACAAATAACATGGTTAAAATAATTATTTCGCATAGCAGTGGTACTATTCATGCACATAAAAAACCAATAAAATATTCACTAGGCATAGAAAAATTATCCTAAGTGCATTGAATATTTCTAACAACCCCTTAGCAATTATCCTATGCTCACGGAATAGTTTTCATATACCTTTAATATATTTTAACTCATTTAATAATGGGTTCGAGTATTACATTAAAGCTCTTGCAAGCATCGAGTGTCTTATTTACCAAGTACACCTCCGGTAATAGCATCTATCATGTTCCCGTCCATAGGGAGTAATCCCTCATAATCGTATAAAATTAGCAATTGTTCTAAAATCCGATGGTGTGGGTAGTCGGCACACAACCTTTTGAATCGCTTCAAATACTCATACAATGTCTCTCCATTGAATTATCTAATACCACAAATATCTTTTCGTATACTAGTAACTCTCGAAGTAGGAAAATATTTTATTAAGAAGGCCTCGCTTCATCTAGTTCCATGAATCGATAGATCCTACAGGGAGATCATATAGCCAATCTTTAGCATCCCCATCAAATGAAAAAGGGAATAGCCACAATTTAATTTGCTCCTCCGATACTCTTTGTGGTCTTATGGTTGAGCGGACCATATAGAAATCCTTTAGATGTTTTTAGAGGTCTTAGCAAGGCTTTGGATTTTTATCAATAAGTGTATCGGTCTCGATTTTAGTTCAAACACAACATTGAGATTTAGGAACTCGATACACAAGGGTCGCTAATTAAGGTTAGGAGCAATCAACTCTTTTAAAGTTTTGTTTGCCCCGTTTACAACCATTACCTCTCGCTCGGACTTGATGATAAAAATTTGAGAACAATAGTTATGCCTAATAAAACTACTATCTCGAATGACTCAATCCTCTCTATTGAAGCTAGTCTAGCTTCTCTTCTCAATTTGCTCAATTCTCTTTTTGGCTTAGGATTGAAAATCATATCACCTTGTTATAACCTGGTCATATACCAACCATAATGAAAACAAAAGAATAGTCAAAATACCAAGAAATAATTAATTTTTAGCATAATCCTCCTTGACAATGATGCCAAAATTTGATGGTGTGTCGTTCCATAAATAAATTAGATATTTGTTTTGTCCGTATAGAGATTAACCACAATAGTGTAATTAGGGCAAGTAAGGATCGAACCCATATGAAAAAGGCTTAATTGATAGTTTCTTTTAGTTGATTGTTTCTTGTAGTGTAAAAGCAATAAAGAGAGGAGTGTTGGTTTGAAGTATTTGAAAACAATTAGAATAAATTGAAATAACAATAATAAAGGAACATTGGTTAAACTTCAGTATCAACTTTTAGTTTGGCCGTTGATCATCAATTAAATCATTAAATTATCCTAAACATGAATATTCATTGAAAGACAACAACATGTATGTTGTCCCCGACCTTTCCTTACTTAGTCATTAACCAAATATATGATATTCAATTAATTACCTAGATACTAAACATTCTACTAAGTGCTAGATAGATTTAATCTAATAGTAATATTAATCGGAGAAAGGTAAGTGAAGCTAGGCCACCCTCCTAGACGCTAGAAAGATATAACCTAGTTCCATGTTTTCAAAGGGATTGAACAAAAAGGTGAAAAATAATCATCAATCTCTAGTTACTACCACATACAAGTTTAAACAAATAATTATATGGACTTAAAACTTAGCTAGCAATAGTTAATATGATCAAATAACTAGCGTGTAATCTAATCAATTTAATCACATAACTATAAATCAATCATATAGAAAAATATAAAATACTCAAATAATATAAGTTTAGAAATAAAAACCTTAATCCGACAATAATTTAATCAAAAGCTTCAACTTGATTCAATCAAGAATGGTGTTTAGTTGTTCATAATGGGTTACAAGGGAGATTTTTCTATCTATAGTGGTCATTGGGAGTTGGAATCTCAAAATAAAACCCTAACATCACTATTTATAGCTAAAAGTAGGGTTATATCACATAGGTTTCACTCCCACATGGCCACACGGGTTGTTAAACAAAGTTACATTGTTTGTTACTCAACTTCAAACAAGTTTGAAGCCTTGAATATAGGGTTTACATGATTTACTAAATAGAGGAACACGATTGTGTGCCTTTTGCCTTCAAGCCTTGTCAATCCTTTTTTCCCGTGTAGACTTCTTCCGCTTTGTGAGACATGAGAGTGTCTCTTTTCTCTACAAACGGTGGGGAATGCTTCCCGCCAAGCATGATCTTCTTTTCTCTTGGAAGACAATCTAGATTGACACACGTACGATTGTGTGGGTTTTCTTTCTCTAGTTGTGTAGAATGCTACTACTCGTGTAACTTTGTTACTAAGCAATCCACATAGTTTCTTTCTTAATATCATATAGCCGATAGCCGATTTCCTTTGTGAATGGCATAGCCGTGTGACTCCTAGCTTTCTTGATGATTTCTCTCCTTTTTGCTTTGGTTTTGAGTTTCCTTGCTCCGATTCGTCGTTTTTCCTATAAAATTCAAAATTGTCATATTGATCTTAATTAATCTAATATAATATAATAAAAACTATAAAATTCAATGTAATATAGCATAAAAATCATGCTAATTATGCACTCATCGAAAGACTCAATTTAAAGATTTTTAACTAGACTTTTACTCTTTCAACCAACTCTAGACAATCACCTAACAACTATATTTGAAGTTCATTTACAATATTTCTCTAACAATTCAATTTATATTTTATTACAATTAATTATCCATCATCAATTGTCAATTCAATTTTCACATAACTTGTCTCTACAATCTATCATCAATTTTCAATTTATTTTTTCTCACAACTTGCCTCTACAATTCATCATCTCAACCAATTTGTAGATCTTAATTTATAATCCAATAATCAATTTCACACCACCATTATCTCATTTCAAGCATCAATTAGCATAACTTATTAAATCATCAAATCCCTATATTTAATTTAAATCCTAACCTTAACCTAACTCAATCTTTAATCAATAACAAACTCAATATAAAATAAGTCCAAAATAATCAATAAACACATATAAACATCTCAATTTTAAGACCAAATGACAAAAAAAAAAAAAAAAAAAAAAAAAAAAAATTACCTTTGACAAATAGGTCTTCAAACCCTAAATTTAATTTTTCAACTCTCCAAACTTTAACCTAGCTAAATATTTTTGTAGTCATGTTGTTTTCATAGTTTTCTAGAGTACATGTACAAGGTTATAGCATTAAAATGGAAGAAAGGACTGCAGGAAGCAGACAAAATTTTTGGATGAGAAAAGAAATAAAGAAATAAAGGACAAAATGGGGGCTGTCCCGTTTGTAAATAAGCTGCCCCAATTTTTTTAAATATTTTTTTGGATGCTTCTTTTTGAAAATATCTTTTAAATATATTGCCAAATACGTCCTTATTTCAAAAAGCTACAGCCTTAGTGAAGTCATCAATCACTTTGAGAAGGCCACCCTTTGTATTCCAGGTTTTATTGCTACCTAGGTGGGTCAACGAAGCAGCCTTGAAGCAAAAATATTACTTTTTAGAACAGTGGATGACGTCGGTTAAAATTAGAGTAATAATGGTCTATGATCTAATGTCAATTTGACAAAGGTGCTTCACCACTGTATTAGGAAATGATAGTTTCCATTCAGATTTGCATTAGGAATCTAGCTAGCCTCTCTTGCACTAAGCCCCTCTTCCAAGTTAGTTTTGGTCATTCAAAGCCCAGATCCATGAGACAAGAAGTATCCACACAATTTCGAAAGGCTAAGCTCTTTAGAAAAATTAAAATCCCGACCACCAATCTTTTCATCCTAATTCAAAATAACATTATAACCTGTTATAAAGAGAAACTCATTTTTATCAAACCCAATCTTTGTGTTCATGAATTGGCGATGATAAGCAAGAAGTATAAACTTCAACTTTGACTCATTCCTTATGAACCAAATGCCACCCGAAAATTCAATAGCCTCAATTTTTAAATCCTAGATGCTTAATGGTTTTTGAAACCTGAACAGCCCCAATTCGAGGTTCAACTAAAACCAAAGCCATCGGTTTATGATGAGATAAATAATAAGGATAAGTAGGGGGAAAAAAAGGGTTTATGACCAACTCCCTAGCAATTTTAAATCATCAAATATATTACCATAAACTAAAAGTAGTAGAAGTTACCAGATATCAAGTCAAGCAGGGGAAAGAGTTTTGTCCAACCACAGTACATAAAAGAATCAACAAGCTTTCATGATGAATATATAGTATATCTAAACAGGATCCCAGCCGCTTAGTAAGGTCTTGTATTGATAAGTTTTCATGAACTCCATTTTTTTATTTCTTGTTCTCCTCTTAAGGTTCATAGAGGCATGCAGCCATGGACCAAAAGAATCTACAACTATTTCACTGTTGGAACATAGATTTTCCATCGTTTTTTTTTTTAAATTACACCATTAAGCATATTATCACTTGCATTTGATTACTTACGGACATTCAAGTTTTATAGTGGTACACAACAAACTACTATTTACAATTCGGCCACATGTATAACCAGGGGCGGACCCAAGTAGAACGCTACAGGCCCTGGTCCCGCCCCCTCCTCCAATCCCCTCCCCCAATTATTATTATTATTTTTTTTCGAGAATGCTTCAATTGGAATTTTAATTAACCTATGTATAAATGAGTATATTTTTACATAAAATAATTAATTTGAGGACTTAAATAAGTGTAAAAATACACTTATTTCTACAAAAAAAATATTCCGTATGCACAGAAAAATTCACCTAAGTTTATAGAATATTCCTACACCTCCTAAATGATTTTTCTATACTCATTGGATAATTTTCAAACTTATTTAAAATACTCAAAATAATTAATTTGCATGAAAAACCATTATTCATGCACTCGAAAATATTCATTGAACATCAAAAAATCCATCTAATGGTACGGAATAATCGACACCTTTCTAACAAATATTCTATACAAATAGAATATTTTTCATGCACATTTAAAATTCTTAAAATATTTATTTTGCATAAAAAATTATTATTCATGCATCGAAAAACGGATAAAATATTCACCCGAAAGCGGGAAAATTGTCCTAATCGCACCGAAAATTCTAGCATAATCATGGCAACTATCTTATGCTCACCGAATAGTTTTCATATATCCTTAATATATTTTTAATTCATTTAATAATGAGTTTGAAATATTACAAAAGGGTTGGAGATACTCATTGGAGTTTTCATCTAAAATTTGTTTATGGTTTGATGAATATGTTTAGTGTAATTATAGTTGAGCATCGTTACAAAATTGACATATTTAATGTTATGATAGATTCTCAATTGTAAGAACCGAATAATAGATTCAATGATCACACGATAGAGCTACTTATTCTTATTTCAGCTTTAAATCTTAGAGCGCATATCATTTAGAATTGATGACATTTGTGAGTTAGTACGTAAATTTTACCTTCAAGACTTTGTCGATCATGAAATGCCGCAATTAAGGATGCAATTTGAGTATTTTGATCGTGTATGAAATCTTTCTAATTTTGAAACATTGTCAACTATATCCAATTTGTGTCAATGGTTGATGAAGACAAGAAAATTTGAAAGTTATCCACTTATGTATAGAATGATAACGGTTATTCTAACTCTTCTAGGTTTTACCGCTACCACGGAATAGTCATATTCGGCTATGAGCATAGTCAAGACTAAGCTTCGTAATAAGATGTAAGATGACTTTCTTTTCAATTGTTTGTTAGTATATATTGAAAAACAAATTGCTAAAAATTTTAGTATAAATTTCCTTATAGATGATTTTCATGACTTGAAAGAACGAAGATCTCTATTTTGAGTTATTGTATTTTGAGATTATTTTAAAATATATATCGGTATGTTATTTTGGAACATAACAAATTGAAAAGAACGAGTAGTCGAGTTGCGGTTACTACGAAATAAGATTTCACATCACTCTATTTTGATTTACGAAGGGAATTCTTTTTGGCTATACTTGTTTAGTCCGAACCGGGGACTTCTTGGAATGCAAAGCCGAAAGAGGGCGAGCAGTTGATCGAAACCTCTCCTCCGGCTAGGAAGTAAGTACAACGAGACCCACTCTCACCGTTACTTCTATTTCTTCTTTTAAGAATCAATCTGTAAGTGGGCCTAAACTCGACGGCCTTAGCCGAAGGTAAGCTCCTTCCTTCATGCCGCATGGCTCTTTCTCTTTCCATAGAATGTCATACTTTACTTATAAAAATTAGAAATCGTCGATGAAAATGACGAAAGTTTTGACAACTCGGGACGAGCCCATTGATCGTGAAGAAAGGTCACAAGAAAAGGAACATTGAGAGATCCAAACTTGGTTTGGTTATATATAAATTTGAGTAAATTATGATAAATTTATAAATATTTATTTTGGCTCCCGTGGACATTTGGTCCCGTGTCCGCCACTCGTGTATAACATACTTGTGGAAGGCCTTTATAACATATCTTTTGATCTATATCCTCCACTTGAATGGATGTCTTCACCGGAGCTTCAAGATCCATATCGATTGCCACTTTTACAATCTCCACCCGTTGACTAGTTTGTGTTATAGTATATTTTTACTATATGCCAAATCATATTACTTATTTTGCGTGAAATAAGAATGACACCAATCCACAAGCAAATCTAACAAACAAACCCATGTAACTCGCTCTTGTCACATAGCCTTGAGAAGCACGAAACAATGATCCCACAGTTGAGTAGTAAAATATAGACCAAAAGTTTTCCATGGGTCATCCACCAAAGCATGAATATAATCCTTTTTGTTGAAAAATTAGACAAGAAAGAACTCATTTTCTATATCAATAAAACGAAAAAGATCCATACTATTTTAAATAGTTTTAAGTCTATTACATAGATCTTTGTATCCTATCAATCTTCCTAGAACCTTAACCATAATAGCTAATTTGCATGGTTTACAAAGATGAGCTTTGAAAGTCTTAAACAACTAAACAACATATCCTTTTATCTTCTTTATAACCACAATATCTCTATCTTCCACTTTAACTTCATCCATCTTCTATGAGAAATATTCTATAGTGTGGCTCATATGTCATGTTTGTTATAAATCTATAAGTGACAATTTAAAGACTTAGAGCCCAATGGACTTTAATGGTGGGCTAGGCACATCTATGATGGATGAAGGTGTAAAATTAGGTTAAAGAAAGAGTTCCCGGTCTAGCCATATAAATAGTAAGTAAAGCCTCGTGTTTTTCATCAATACATAAAACCCTAAAGTATTGGCATAGACTAGAAGACTCTCTTTTATTGGTCGCTTCAGTTTTCTTTCAATATATCTTGAGCACTTAATCAATCATGGAAGGAGGTATGTATCCAATTAATTTTCGCTGCGCTTATCTATTTAGGCATATTAATTTTCTAACATGTGGTATCAAAGCCTCCTTCTTGCTATATTGATTAGTGTTAACAAAAATTCATTAATTATATTTATTGAGGATATACTATGGTTTTTATAGAGAAATCATATATTATGGTATGGTTATTAATTGAAATATTTAAATCAAAGGTATATATACATATAGCATATGGATGTAGATGCATAACAACACAAAGGACAAATTTTTATATAATAATTAAAAAAAAGTGACTATTAAAACCGTTTTTGAATGGATGGTGTGGCAAGTAAAGACAAAAAGCTAACAATTGTCAAAATTGCATGCATGGTGTGGCAAGTGAAGACAAAAGGCTAACAATTGTCAAAGTTGCTTTATATATATATGAATCACGTGGCTTGGATCCATCGCATGCATATTTTTTTCATTTATTTAATGATTCAATATATATGAATCACATGGCCCCGGATACGTGCATGCATATTTTTATTACTTATTTAATGTTTCAATATACATGAATCATAAGTCCGTGGAGTGTATATAAATAACAAGTCAGATGTATATAAATAACAAGCTTGACTTGTTAAAGTTCTTAGTCCGTGGGATGTAGATGAATTATAAGTCCTAGACTCAATTGTTTGCTTGTAAACAATTTCTTTAAATTTTCACCCATATATTTAGGCTCTGTTAGCATAAGTTATATGCAAAAAAAAAATAATAAATATAATAATAAATAAATAATGAAATGATTTATATTATTATTTTGATATGTCAACATAGAGTTATGAGTTGATATTAAAGCATGCTATGTTGAGATGGTGCTGTCAATTGACTTAGGAATAGCCACAACATTTTAAGTAATTTTGATGATCACATTAAAGTTTATTAAATTAATATGCTCATAAAGTATATAGCTTCATTTGCAATTATTTTATAAAAATAATGACTCGACCCTACAGGGAGGTTGCTATTTTTATGATTTAATTGGAATAAGATAATAAATTGATATTAAGAATGGATTTTATTCTAGTCCCTCGAGTGTGAATATTTTTTATTCTTGATATTTTATTTATTAGTCTTATTATTAAAGAATTAGTGAATTCTATGCATGATGCAACCTCTACCCATAGGAAAGTTAGAATTTACTATTAAATTGATATTGATTAATTTAAATAAAGTATGTTTTTTTATAGTATTAAAGTCTTTTCTTGGTTATTGCAGCTTTTCCTACTCGCTTTTATTGATACATCTAGTATTCCAATGCTATGTGGTGATAATTTTGCTGATCGAAAAGAAAATATTCTTTTTACATTAGGGTGTGTGGATTTGGATTTGGCCTTACGTGTTGATGAACCACTCATCCACACGAATTCAAGTGATGCATAGGAAAAGACTAATTATGAGTCGTGAGAGCAATCTAATCGCTTAAGTTTAATGCTCATAAAGTCTCACATAAATAAGAATATTAGGCGTTCAATCCTCGTATGCTCTAAGGTAAAATATTTCCTGAAGGCCATAGAGGAACAATTTATTCATTCCGATAAGGCATTAGCCAGCACCCTAATGAAAAAGCTTTCGACAAGTCATTTGACTATTCTAAAGGTGTGTGAGACCACATTATGGAAATGAGGGACACTGCTCGCTCAATTAAAGTCCCTACAGGTAGAGATTTCTAAGTCATTCTTGGTGCCTTTCATTTTGAACTCTCTCCTTGTGGAATATGGTCGGTTTAAGATTTCTTACAACACATATAAGGAAAAATGGTCAATTAATGAATTATTGACCTTGTGTGTTTAAGAAGAAGGGAGATTGAAACTTGAGAAACCTAAAAGTGCTCATTTCATTTCTCAAGCTAAGGGAAATTCCAAGAAGGGTAAAAATGTTCTAAAAGTGAAGAAACATGAAAATTTGCCAATAAAGAAAAATGGCAATAATAGTAAATGTTTCTTCGCAAGAAATAAGGACTTGTTATGAAAGATTTCCTTAAGTATCAAAAGTGGCTCGTAAAGAAAGGCAAACTCATCTCTTTAGTGTGTCATATATCTTTTTTATTTATTGAGACTCCTAATAATACATGATAGATTGATTCTGGTTCTACAATCCATATTGTGAATACCATGTAGGGCTTTCTTGACTTAAGAAAGCCAAAAGGAAATAAAGAAGGCATCTATTCAGGAAATCGAATGCGCTCTAAAGTTGAAGCTCGTGGGAACTTTTAGATTAATTTTAAAATCTAGATTTATTTTGGATTTGGAAAATGTCTTTTATGTTCCATCATTTTCTAGAAATTTGATTTTAGTTTTCGGACTATGTAGTATTAGCTATGGATTTTTGTTTAATGAAAATATTTTTAGTATTTTGAAAAATAAAATTTCTATTGGTGGTGGAATATGAATTGATGGTTTATGTAAAATTGATCTAGACCTTTCTTTTGAGCATAATTATTTATCAATTCATGTTAATATAGGTATTAAAAGGAGCAAAATTGATGAGAATTCCTCCACATTGTGGCATAGAATATTAGGTCACATCTCCATTGAAAGAATTAAAAGATTAGTGAATGATGGAGTTTTAAATGCTCTTGATTTTACTAATTTTGGTACTTGTGTGGATTGCATAAAGGGGAAGCAAACTAACAAGACCACTAAAGATGCCACGAGGAGCTCGTAAATTTTAGAAATCATACATACTCACATATGTGAACCATTTAAAACTCCTTTCCTAAATGGTCGGAGATATTTTATCTCATTCATTGATGACCATTCTAAATTTATGTATCTTTATTTTTTACATGATAAGGCTAAAGCACTTGATGCTTTTAAGACCTTTAAGGTTGAGGTAGAGAAACAAAAGGAAAAGACCATTATGATTATGAGGTCCGATAGAGGTGGAGATTATTATGGTAGGTACACTAAAAAAGGATAAATGCCGAGTCCATTTGCAAAATTCCTTGAAGGAGAGGGCATTATTGCACAATATACAATGCCCGGCATACCATAACAAAATGGTGTAGCTGAAAGAAGGAACCATACTCTCATGGACATGGTGAGAAGCATGATTTGTAATTCTAATTTACCATTATCCTTATGGAGTGAAGCATTAAAGACTCGCTGTGTATATTCTAAATAGGATTCCATCCAAGGCTGTCTCTAAGACACCTTTTGAATTATAAAATGGATGGAAACCTAGTTTAAATCATACACATGTATGGGGTTGTCCTGTTGAGGTAAGGGGTTGTCATATTGAGGTAAGGATTTATAATCCTCAATTAAAGAAATTAAACCCGAGAACAACCAATGGATATTTCATTGGTTATGCAGTAAACTCTAAAGGATATAGGTTTTATTATCCTTCTTACAGTACAAGAATAGTAGAGGCAAGAAATGCTAAATTTCTTGAGGATCTTAACCTTAGTGGGAGTATTTTCCTCGAAGAATAGAATTTAAGAAAACACAAGATTCAACTCGTGTTACATAAGGATAAAAGGTAATTGGTTATTGTTCAAGAAAGTCAATTACATAATGTTGAACAACAACCAATTCCCGAGTAACAAGTTCAAGAGCAACTAGTTCTTGATGAGACAAACCCACATGACGATGTTGAATTAAGAAGATCTTCATGAGTAACGAGACCAAGCAATTTCTAATGACTATGTTGTATACCTTTAAGAGTCCGAATTTAATGTTAGACTTAAGAATGATCCAAACTCGTTTTCACAAGCAATGAATGGAGAAAACTCTAATTTATGGTATAATTCCATGAAGGAAGAAATGGAGTCTATGCATAAAAATCAAGTTTGGGACCTCATCAAATTACCAAAGGAATCTATAGCCATTGGTTGTAAATGGGTTTATAAAACCAAAAGAGAATCTTTTGGTAATATTGAATGGTATAAAGCTAGACTTGTGGCTAAGGGTTATACCCAAAAGGAAGGCATAGACTATCCGAGACTTTTTCTCTATTCTCTAAAAAAGATTCATTTAGAATAATAATGGCATTAGTAGCTTATTTTGATTTGGAGCTACATCGGATGGATGTGAAAATAAAATTTTTAAATGGAAATTTGGATGAATAGGTATACATGAATCAGCTTGAAGGTTTTTATGATGATACAAATAGTCACTTGGTTTGTAAGCTAAAAAAATCTA